ATTTTCTTTCGATTTCACGTTACACCTGATCTTACGATCTAATTGGTTGATCAGGTGGGTGCGTTACAATGCACATGACTAAATTACATAAACCTTTAAAATAATATGCTGACGTCATTTTTCGATATACGTGCCACATTGTTTTCCTTGTATACCATGAATTGGTCAAATTCACTTAGTATATTCTCTTGATTAATTCATTGGGTTCCGCATGAAGCATCCATGGATTGGTCCAAAAATTTTGACCATGAATAATTGAGTCCAGATCCAAAGATTCATGGATAAAATCATAGATATCATCACATTTTCCTTATCATATAATGTCAAAATTACGAACCCAAGCTTAATTTAAAAATAATCAGTTTGTGTCTTTGAATACATGGATTGTGCCTTGTACCTAGCGATGGTAAAAAAATCATTTTTCAACGATTTAAATCATGCGATGAATATAACCTTGATGTGCTGAGGTTTAAATTTAATATAATCAGATCATAATCATATCTAGTAATGGGCAAATCGCAGTTTTTTAAAAATCCCGTGCAGGATTCTCGGAATATAGTAAAGTTTTTTAATTTTTCATGAATTATAAATATATATATAAAGATAATCACTAGAAATATAATTTCTTGTTAAAATAATATATTTTAAATATATTTAGCAAGCCCTTGTTTATAGTCTGGGTCTGGTCCAAGTTTTTCAAAATGATGCCAAATCGGTTTATTAACACCCATGTTATAATAATGTTATTTAAAAAATGGCTTAATAATGGTTATATTTATTATAACAAGGAATAGTAAGTAAGAACTACCAACGGCAAAAAAAAATTTAATCAAGTATACGCATATATATAAAGAATGATAAATACTCGAAAATCGCATGATATCATCAATTCATGATATCAACATAATTGATTTAATAAGTGATTTTTTTTCTTCGATTCTTTAAAGTGAAAAGCGATTGTTAAAAGCATAAAATCCAATAAACACACTATTCTAAAAATATATGTTGATTGCCGTAACCAAAATTTCTATTGACAATAAACGAAAAAGAATGAAATCGAAATAATTATAAAAATCAAGATTTAATGTTCAATGCGCTTTTGAAAGATTATAACTCTGATTATTGTTTGAATCCAGGACAATGTTATTGAAGAAAACAAATAGTAATAAATGGTTCAGTAGTATTAATAAAAACTTTTATGCTATTTCATAAATTGGATGATTCTGATCATTTTAAAAGGCAATGGAATATCTAAATACTTAGAAAACTGTAATTATAATATTTTCTGGCTATAATAAAGCATTTAATGAAATAAATAAAATAATTAATTTATTACTTCAAACACCCAAAACAACTTACTACAACAAATATTCTTACCATGCGCTGCTTCCACACGATTATCCATCTTATTACAATTATGCAATTGTAAAATAATTTTTGGATAACCTGATGACCAGATAATTTATTATATGATGCCTTGTAAACTTTTGTTTGATTAGCTAATGCGAGTCAATTGCCTATAGTGTATGTTAAGTGCTTCACAATATATTAATAACTATTTGTTAACTACTATATTTGCTTTCGTTTCTGGTTTCTAGCGTGACTGCGTCGCACAGCTATCTTACCTATCTATATATATCTCGGGTTTTAATAGTTTATAGATTGTAAAGACGTGCATTATTTTAAATCAAACAGCACAAGTCATTTAATATTTAATGTCAGACGCTATAATTTTTAGACAGAAAGCGTTAAAAAATACATCGCCACAAATATTTCTAAATAATTACTTACATATTATGGCTCACAAATATTATTAAATATTTACTTACAGATTATGGCTTAGTATGAATCTTCAAAAGTTTCAAATACGACTAAACCTTTTTATTATTCATGCTAAAAATCAAAGATAATTAGAAATGTCAGATATTTCTTATGTAATTCCAATGGAGGCAGCTCCAGATAAAAATAAGAAAATTTTAGAAATTATCTGCTCACCTAACTTAAAATATGTTGCTGCGTTGTACGAAGATGGCAATATTAGTCTTTGGCCTATTGAGCAACCTGACAAAATAATTAATATTGGCATGATTTACATTGGAGAAAGTGATGAAAAAATATTTGCAATTTCAAATAAATATATTTCATTCAGTATTAATAGAGACGAACACTATAATTTCAGTAAGTTATGTAATAAGTTTAATATTATTACTATTTCAATAAATTTAATCGCATTTATCGTATTTTGCACATTTTTCAAGAAATTTTAGATTTTGAAAATGAAAAAGAGGTATTATTAAAATTTCCAGATTGTCAAAAGAAAATTGACTATTTATCCTTCATTGATAACGGTGATATTATAATGATAAATACTAAATATTACAGAGCATATGTTTTTTCAAGTAAAAATAATATTACATGGGTTTGTGAATCAATGATTGAGCTGAAATATTTTAAAAAAATTTACATTACTCCTAAAGGAAAATTGATCATATTTAATGACACTATTTATGAAATCACGATGTGGGATGTTGAAGCATTATCGATTAAAACTCATATTTTAGTAGATTGGAATTTTACACCTGAATCTATTGAAATTAGTGATGATGAAGAATTATTAGCAATAAGTGCAAAAAATGAGAAAACTGAGGAAACACGTTTATACGTTTTTTCCACCGAAACTGGGATAAATCTGTCCTTCTGTAAGCCTATTAATTAAAATAAATAAACGATCATATGAATTTCTTTTATATTAATTTTTATTTTTATTTTTAGTTACTACAAAAGAGGTGATCATTAGAATCCATTTGATCGCTTCCAGAAAAGGAGAGATTATTATTTATTACAGACGAGGGAAACTATAATTTAATGGACCCATATAACCTAAAAAATCAAATTGATGCAAGTGATCTTTTTGAAAGGAATAAAATTCGAATTCAAGAACCATACATAATTCGATTGGATGAAATATCGGATAAAATAATTTATACGATCGACGGAAGAGTTTTAATTGAAGAATTAGTGCCTGAAAAATGGATCAATTACTTACGAAACGAATTGAATGACACAAATTGCATTACATCCCCATCTAAAAACGCAATTGATATTATAAACAAATTAATTGATGTGCATTATACTGACAAAAAAGAATTTCAAGGTGAATTTTTAAAATGGGGATTAGAAATAAACGATAAATCAGTCAGTCTTAAAAGAATTAATAAAAAAAAGCAACTGGATATTCTTCCATCATTTTATTCCAATGCAACAAATTTCATACTATGCTGTGAAATTCTTGAAAATGATGATTTCATTACAATTACACGTATTGGTGTAATTATCTGGACTTACAGAAATTCTGACATTAAGATGCATTATTATTGGAATTATTGGAATGGTCATTTAAAAGGGTTCGAATTTGAAAGGAACAAGTTTAAAAGTTTCCTTTACGACTGGACTCCAGTAAGAATTCTTCCTGTTTCTAATTATGAAACAATTTATAAAAATTTAGATATTAAATTTGGTAAAGAAGAAAAAAAGCTTTTCAAAACATTTTTGGAAGATAATATAAAAGAAGAATTTTACTTAACTTGCTACGGTAAAATTCTCATGAAAACATTTATTAAACTAAATGATGATAAATGGATTCGATTTTTAGGCGACAGTTGTATCGAAAAGTGTCTGCGAGACAATAATCATTTGATTTCTAAAATTTCTTTGCTGAGTATTATTTTTGAAAACTTTAAAGAATTATCAAAAAATCATCCTGCATTTATAGCAAGTGCTTTATCTGCAATAGGATTTGTTGTTTGTTCTAATATAGTGAATCCAAACTCTAATTCTCCGCATCTTTCCAGTTATGGAAAGTACTGTCATTTATCTAAAACATCATTTATTGATATATTAATATCTAACCTTTGGATTCATTGGATTAGTTTTCAAAAAAGTTTTCAAAAAAGTTTTCAAAAAAGTTTTCAAAATATTCTTCAAGAAAGTCACCCATCTGTTCGAAAATTCATTGTAGACCGAATTGTCGATTTATTAGACCCAATTGTCGATTTATTTACTGTGGGCCGTAGTTCAATAATACTTGTAATTCCTTTACCAAACTTTGTTTCTTATCCAAAAGATTACAATTTTTGGAAAGAATTTGTAAAGCCTGCTTCTAGTTCTTTTACATATTCAAATAAACATAAATTAATAAATGAAGAATTTTATAGATATTTAAATGGAGAAGCATTACTTAGTTTTAAATGGAATGCTTATGGAAGAAAATATTATTTTGCAACTTGGGCAATTTATACAGTTTTTTTTTGTAGTTTTCTTTATGTTTCCTTTTTATCTAATGATATTTCTTGGGATGATCAAAAGCTTCTCTTGAACATTGTCGTTATTCTTGGATTTTGGCATATTCTTTCTGATCGTCAACTGATTTATGCACCTTTAAGTTATATTTTCAATATCTGGAATTATCTAGGTAAATTATGATTAAAGTGTTTAAAATATACACCTCCTTACTTATTTATTATTTTAATAGATATTTGTGCAGCGATAGTTCCTACAATTACTTCTCTTTGTTGGTTAAAGCAAGGCTCTGCTTCAATTGGGATGATCACATATTCAATTTTATTCCTTGAACTAAAATTTATTATTTTTTTTCGTTCCACACAATTTTTTGGAATTTATATCGCCATGATTATGAATACTATAGATAAAGTAATATCGTTTTTAATAATATTCGGGTTTATTATATTTGCATTTGCATGCCCCTTACACCTCTTATTACGCTTTGTGCCTGAGACATCTCAAGGTATTTATATTTACCTAATAAATTGATTTGTTAACTTGATCATAGATATTTTTAATTCGTAACTTCATTATTTAAATCTTTAGATCCAAATATGTTTAAACAATTTGGTTCCTCAATTGTTGTAGCTTATTACATGATGATGACAGGTAATATACTGTATATTTTATTAATACTTTATTATATTTTACTTAAAAATAATCCATTTAATTATGCTATATTAGGAGATTCAACTCCTATTTCTTCATGGATTTCAAGTGAAAACACTACAATAATGCTCTTAATGATTGTAGTTTCATTTTTTACATTAATTTACCTAATGAATTTATTTATTGGAATTCTTAATAATTTAATTAGTGATGATAAATACAGTCATATTGGATATTTGAATTTATTAAGTGAGGTATTTTTTGAATATACAGCACAGTTATTTGAAGTTATTTAAATTAAAAAATTTTAAATTTCACTATTTAGATTATTGAAAAAATTGAGTTATTTTATATGTTACCTTATCAACGAAGAAAGGAAAATTGGTTTCCGTTTGTTATGTGTGTTATTTGATTGTATGCAAAAGCAAAATCTTATTTCTGTTACTTATCTATTCTTATATTAAAAGGTTTTACGAATGCCAAACAATTAAACTTCGTGAGCATGTAATTGATATTGTCCAAAATAATAATTGGTCAGGTTATAAAAAACCTTACATTTCAAAGAATCTTAAAGAAGTCCTTCAACTCCCTGAAGAAGAGCCCTCGAATACAGAAATTGAGGAAACTATTAAAAAGCTAAAAGAATCATTTGATAAGATCATGCAAAATAAATAGTATTTCTGATTGAATGTAGAATAGAAATGAGTGGTTAGATAATATTTTGGAAATTTATATTTTGGTACATGAATACGTAGTTATTTTTGAACATTAGTCAAAATAAATAATATACTAGTGTCATGTTTCTTGTATACGTACTACATACTTTGCGTTTAATTCACTTAAAAAGTCAACAAACGACGAAAAGTGGTTCACTAAGAATGGAACGATGTCTTCATTGAAACTTTCAAAGAACAATAATCATCATAACACAGTTATTTTGGTCATTAATTGTAAAATTTTTAAAAATTTGGGTCCTTTTCAGTTTTTACGTAAATTACCCTAAAATTTAAGCTATAAAAAAAGATAAACATTGATGACGTATTTTTAGTGCAGCCATAATTCCAAATAATAAAATGATCTTAAATATTATGATTTAAACCATTCTTAAATATATTCTATAAAAATTATTGAATATTCAAATTTATCATGCTTTATTTCTTTTTACAACAATCCGGATAAATCTATCATCCATATTTACTATTGATATCCGACAAATATTCGGATAATTATCCGGATATCAATAGTGAGGGGCCCTAAATCGGCAAATCTGTCGCTAATTGAAGGTCGACTTCGTGTATCGGTCGAAAGAGGCACGTAGATTTGGCGGGTGGATTATCGTCCGTATGTAAGTACTGGTCTCCTCTGTTGAGTCTGTCCTTCAACCTATTTTTAATTCTTATCTTTTCTTCTATTATCGCAACCTGGGATTTCACTATGTCGAATCGGAGTTGGAACTCTTCTTTTTCGTTTCGGTTTACGGTGCGTGACTATGGCGAGCGATCAATTACGATTTTTCAGGTATTTTGGATGGGCGGGTATTTTTAGTAACGGGATTTAACAATAGTCACTGGTTCTACAAGACAATACTTTCACTTTTATATTCATAATTGTAACCACTTTATTGCTTTTATTACTTCTATCAAATCCGCCTTATTACTAAGACGAAATTACATGTTATTTATAAGCAAAATTCTTTCTATTGTTAGGGTGTCGATGTCCATTATCACGCTTACAATGATGATAGCGCTTATATCGCATATATTTATTATAATGATTATAATCAATATATGCAAGATACGCATTATAAGCACGGGTATCCCAAATATCTTCACAGCCGGGGCAGAATCGTGACCTGATGATCGTGCGACGGCGGGAAATCTACGGTGACACAGGCGAAACGGCGAGTCAGTCGCTTGTCGATGGGATATGTCGTGTAACCTACGAACGGCTTAGTCGATAAGAGGCGGT